TCTATTTCTTCTTCTTCTTCTTCTTCTTCGTCTTCTTCTTCTTCTTCTCTTTCTTCTGCTTTTTGTATAACACAGGAATGAACAAACCCAAATACATGCACAAAATAATATAATAAAACACAAAGACATCAAAGTAAAACGTCTATTTCTGATACTATTTTAATACTTACTCACTTTAATTTCCAGTCCCAGTTCACAGAGTGCAAACATAAACACACACGCACACAATCACACGCGAAAACAGATACACACAAACGGACACACAAACAGGTAGGCGACAAGTAGGTGAGATAACAATTATGGCTAGGTAGGCTTTGTCACCCCACAAGAATGCGCTCAGTATGACAGACCTCCTGCCCCCGCCCACCCCCCGACCCCCGCCCCCGACCCTCCACCACTCCCACGTCCTCTACGGTCAGACCACAGATAAACCCAACTCTTTTCCCCAGTCTTCCTGAGTGATACTGCCTGCAAACACACAGTGCATTTGACACACACCCTGGCCAAAACATAAAGCGGGATGGAGCTACGCGGGGGCAGAGATAATGAGGAATATTATTAGCGCTACAAAGTGGAAGCAGAGGCAGAGTAATATCCAGGAATGCAGAAGAAATGTCTTGATTCAGATAGGGTTAATTAGCTTAGGTCAACTTTGTGTGTGGTTAAAGTACGCTACGACTCCTGTGATAATTATTATTACTAGCAGGTAGGGGTACAGGTGATATTACACACACACACACACACACACACACACACACACACACACAGACACACACACAGACACACACACTCTCTCTCTCTCACACATACAAATACACACGCGTGCGAGCTCTCACAAATTCATGAATACAACAATTAGTCCATCCTCTCTCTCTGTGTACCTTATGCTTTGTATTGTTCTCCGTGAGTACGTTTATGCGGTTATGTTACACAAGTGCTGTGTGCAGCATGCCACGTCACAGAACAGAGGCGTCTTCTTTCTCAAACATTCTTTTTTATTCTTTCTTACTTATAGATATCACTAGTCCGCTTTCTTGACTACTTACTCTCCATCTGAAATCCCCATTAATATATAATAGATCTAGGATGATTCTGAAAACTTCAGTCTTGCCCCCTTCTCTCTCTCTCTCTCTCTCTCTCTC